TTCGGCAGCCATTAATATAAATGCAGCCTTTCTAAATGTTTCAGTTGATGGATTCAACGAGGGTCTTCAGCCACATAACAAAGTACCATGGGAATATTGTTTGGCACTGAAGAGAAAACCTTTCAACTACCGCAACTGGGCACGATATCACACTATCGAAGGCGGTCTTATAGTAGAAGTATATGCATGCTAAAAAAATTAAAATTGAAGCGGCTAGGGGTATGCCCAACTCCGTAACACAGCGAAGAAAAATCGACAAATTCGACAACTTAAACCATGTTAAAAATCGCCGAGCCAATAACAGAAAAATTCTACATGTTTAGAAGTACCACAATATCAGAATTCGAGACCACAATTACAGAAGTACCGCATGAAAATTTGCCAAACACCACAATGCCAAAAAATTTCTCATTGTTAGGTGCTAAAAATGTCAGACACTACCATACTCTCCCCTCCCCGAGGCAAACATTGATTCCAAATACCCCATTGTGGGTAGGAGTATCCAGAGGCAACGAAAATACCCAAAGGGGATGGTCACGCTTCAAATTAACTGATCAGTTGTAGTTGATTGCAGGCCCTTTCACCAGGGTTGAGGGTGCTTCGTTTTCCAGTTGAGTGTATTGCGGTTTCCAAAAAATAGAAAATACTTGGTTCTTTCTCCATTCGTGGTTGTTTCCCTTTTACTTGTAGGTCTCTCCGATTCAGCTTTGATTTCGACAATCTGTTTTACAGTTATGAAGTACGTCATAAGCATAACTTTCGATAAAGAAACTTGGGGTGGAACGAAACCCCAGTGGAGGTACTGCCGATTTCAAGTGACGGCGATGATCGAAGGATTTGTTGGGTTTGAAATTTTCGATTCCGGAATTCTTTTGGGGTAGGAAAATTTGACAGTTATTTTCTTAGTTGGCTTGACTTAAACTAAAGAACTTTGTCGGTGCATAGTTCTGTATAGGATTTTTGGGGGTTAATTTTTGGTCCAGGGAATTTTGGGTTTTTGATTTTTGCACCCATTTGGTCATCCACGTCTGTTAAAATCCGTAATAACCCTTGGGAACGAAACTTGCTATGGTATAAAAAAAAAAAAATGGCGAGTTATAGTTGTGAGTACAAAAGATAAGAGTACAATACGGACTATCGTGGGCAACTTTTTTGTGTGTTCATCCGGGAGTCCGTCTTCGTCTCTTTGCTACAGATTAAAACGAAAAATACCACGGGGATAATTATTTCCCGGTTAGGCAAATGGTGTCACTTGTTAACTCATAAATGGCGTTGATCATGACTATGGCTACAATCTCGCTCTGTTTTGAGTTCTTTCGGTGTCGTGTTGATGTCTTGCAGAGTTAATTTTCACGTAGTACGGTCAGCATTGCAGTATTCTGCTCGCAGAATTTAATATGTCTACTTTTCACTTTTCATTTTTGCTGATCAGGTCTTTATGGATCTTACGTTCTCCGGCATATTCGTTTGCGGTCCTTTGTAGTCCTTTATGGTTAATGTTTGTACTAGATCATGACATTGCTCACAGACTTGTGAAATAGGTACAAATTTGGTCGTTCCGTTCCTCACTTTCTGATGTTAAAAATGCTAAAAATGTATTAAATTTGTAGCTCACACTAATAAACCATTATGAGGTGCGTGTGCATCTTTCGGGTTGGCGGGAAAATAGGAATCATACTTGGCGGGAGCTAAAGCAGGGCTATATGTAACGGTGAATCCACAAGATAAAGGGATTCGTCCACCACAAATTTTAGAAAAAGTTTAATCTAGACAAAAAGTAAAAAACACCTTCAGTGGAGATAATGTTTAACGAGTTCCAGTCTTTCAGTGTATGTTGAATGGTATCAAATGACGGTTTTTTTCCTTTCTGTATCTTTTATTTCATTTCTCCTTAAATTTCTATGTTAAAAGCTAATTGGTGATACACTATTAACAGTTGTAAGAATCTTTACCTTTCAGTTTGTCATCATCAAAGTTCAGCTCTTGTACGGGACCAAGTGATGTAACATCACCCTCACTTGCTGCTCCGTTTCCACTCTGTGCCATAATGGTTTGATCTGGAAAAATCGGTATAAAGCTGTAAACTGACATTACTTGTATATAAAGCACTAGTACCAAAACAGCCATTCATTTTGTCACAAGTGGTAAACTCCACCACAAATTCTAGGAAAAGCCTAATCCACATGAAAAGTTAAAAAACCACCTTCAGTAGAGATAATGTTTAACGACTTTGACTCTTTAACCACTTCCGTATGTTGAATGTTTTCAAATGACGGTTTTTTGTCTTTTCTGTATATTTATTTTACTTGTGCTTAGTTTAGTATGTTAAAGGCCTTTTAGTGATACACTATTAACAGTTGTAATAATCTTTACCTTTCAGTGTGTCATCATCAAAGTTCAGCTCTTGTCCGGTACCAAGAGATGTAACATCACTCTGACATGCTGCTCCTTTTCCACTCTGTGCCATAATGGTTTGATCTGAAAAAATCGGTAAAAAGCTTTGAATTAATATTAACTTCACTTGTATAGGCACTGTTACCAAAACAACCATTCATTTTGCGACAAGTGGTAAACTCACATTAGTATAAAACTTTTACTGACTGAACAAATCAATCAAAATTCTGTGGCAGGCTGTCATGAAATGAGCGGTGAAGTAATTTTCAAACAACAGGACAGTAACGTAATCTGATTCAGTTTTCCGTTATGCTTTCAGTCAAGACATGAAACTGCTTTCCAGAATTCAGTAGCTAAACACCCTAGTAACCAACCATTGCCAACTCACTTTCCGACAGTCTCTGTGGCTGATTCAGTTTCAGATTTAGAGAGACGTTTTTTGTAGTTCTTTTTTGTTACCCTAGTCAATCGACTTAGTAGCAGCAGGGAGTTACAGGACCACTTCAGTAAGACGTGACAGAACCATATTTGGAAACAGAATCAGGAGTCAATTGCAGCAATAATCCTTATAAACATACTGTTTCTTTTTGGTGCTAGTGAAATTCGGTAAAGTTTACTTTTAGTTTTATAGAACGTAACGGGATAATCGTCATAATTTGCAACGGCTTTCGTCATTGGTAATACTTTGTTGATAAAAACTCGGGATAAAAACACTGTTAAGTATATAAATTCGGTTTGCTACTTAAAGATGTTTGGCTGCTATGACCACATCCACAAGAACACTTTTTTTACTTTCAAAACTACAAAAACTTGAGATTGGATTAACACTAAAATAACCTTTTCAAATAGTAATAATAATAATATAATAGTTATAATAATTATAATAATAAATGGTACAAGGTGAAGGTGCTGTGGTTTCACCATAGGATTTCAGCATCCGTTGTTCTAATTATTTCTGTTGATGGGTTCAAACGCATAACAAATTATCATGGGAATATTGTTTGGTAAACCTTTCTAAAACCTCAACTGGACACAATATCACACTATCAAAGCTGGTCTTGTGGCAGAAGCATACGCGTGCGCAAAAAAAAAAAGGATTGAAGAGCCGCTAAGGGTATACGGAACACGGTAACACTGCAAAGAGAAACCAAGAAATTCGACACAACCATGCTAAAAATCGCCCAGCCAATCACAAAAACTTCGGCATGTTTAGAAATACCACAATATCAGAATTCAAGGCCACAATTACATAAGTACCGCATGAAAATTTGCCAAACACCACAATACCGCAAACTTTCTCAATGTAAGGCGCTAAAAATGTAAACCTCTACTATACTCTCCCCTCCCCGAGCCAAAACATTTGATTCCAAATACCCAACAATGGGTACGAGTACGTCGAGGCAACGCAAAGACCCAAAGGGGATGGTCACGCCTCAAATTAACTGACCCATTTGGTTTATTGCACACCCTTTCACTGGCGTTGAGGGTTCTTCGTTTTCGAGTTGAGTGTATTTCGGTTTCCAAAAAATACAGGGTACTTGTTTGTTTTTTCCATTCGTGGTTCTTTCCTTTTTACTTGTAGGTCTCTCCGATTCAGCTTCGTATTCGACAATCTGTTTTGCGGTTATGAAGTGCGCCATAAGCAAACTTTTGATTAAGAAATTTGGGGTGGAACGAAACTCCAGTTGAGGTAGTCCGGATTTCAATTGACGGCGATGATCGAAGGATTTTTTGGGCTTAAAATTTTCAATTCCGGGATTCTTTTGGGGTAGGAAAAATGTGGCAAGTATTTTCTTAGTTGGCTTGATTTTAACTGAATAATTTTGTCGGTGAGTAGTTCTGTATAGGATTTTTTGGAGGTTAATTTTTGGTTCAGGGAACTTTTGTGGGTTTTGATTTTTGCCCCAATTAGTTCATCCACGTCTCCTAAAATCCGGAATACTCCTTTGGGAACGAAACTTGCCATGGTGTAAAAAAATAAAATATTGAATTATAATTGTGAGTACAAAAGACAAGAGTACAATGCGGACTATGGTGTGCAACTTTTTAATATGTTCATTTCCGTCTTCGTCTCTTTGCTGCATATGGTCATTTACTCCCTGGTTAGGCAAATGGTGTCACTTGTTCACTAATAAATGGCGTTGACCATGACATTGGTCACAGAATAGTGGCAAATTTGGTCGTTAGTTATGCTCACTTTCTAGAGTTAAAAACGCCAAAAAAGCTAGAAAAGCATTAAATTTGTAGCGCTAGACGGAACTTACACTATTATTAAAGGCGTTATGCGGTAGTGTGCATCTTTCGGGTTGGCGGGAAAAAAGAAATCATACCTGCCGGGAGAAAATTCAGCATTCGTCGGCCACAAATTCTACAAAAAGCCTAATCTAGATAAAAAGTTGAAAAACCACCTTCGACTTTGACTCTCTAACCACTTTGATATGTTGAATGTTTTTAAATGACGGATTTTTTTTTTCTTTTCTGTATCTTTTATTTCATCCCTCCTTATTTTGCTATGTTAAAGTCTTGTTGGGGATACAGTATTAACAGTTGTAAGAATCTTTACCTTTCAGTGTGTCATCATCAATGTTCAGCTCTTGTCCGGTACCATGTGATGTAACATCACTCTCACTTGCTGCTCCGTTTCCACTCTGTGCCATAATGGTTTGATCTGGAAAAATCAGTAAAAAGCTTTAAATTGATATTATCTTCACTTGTATAAGCATTATTACCAAAACAACCATCCATTTTGCCACAAGTGGTAAACGCACATTTCATTGAAACAAATCCATTGAAATTATGTGGCAGGCAGTCATGAAATTCGCGGTGAAGTCATTTTCATAGAACAGGACAGTACATGTACTCTAATTCAGTTTTCCATTACGCTTTCAATCAAGACATGAAACTTCTTTTCAGAATTTCAGTGGCCCACTCGCTCACGTCACCCTAGTAACCGACCATCGCGAACTTACGTTTCGACAACCTTGTAAGCTGATTCATCTTCAGATTCAGAGCCATGTTTTTTTTTCAGTTATTTTTTTTGTTAATCGACTTAGTAGTAGCATGGAGTTACAATGGGACTTCCGTAACACGTGACAGAACCATATTTGAAAACAGAATCAGGAGTCAATTGCAGCAATGGGCTGTCATTAGAATGTGGCTTGTAAAACATAAGGTCTCATTTTCGTGCAAGTGAAACTCGGTTAAGTTTACTTGCAGATTCATAGAACTCATGGGAGATAATAGTCATAATTTGCAACAGCTTTCGTTATTGATCAGTGATACCTTGTTGATAAAAGTTTGTGATAAAAACATTGTTAATTAGATAAATCCCGTTTGCTACTTGAAGATATTTGGGGGCTATGACCACATTGACAACAGCACTTTTTTTCCCTAAAAAACTACCAAAACTTAAGATTGGATTAACACTGAAATAACCTTTTCAATTAATAATAATGATCATCATCATCATCAACATCATCATCATAATCATAATGTTAATAATTATAATAAATGGTACCATGTGAAGGTGCTGTGGTTGCACCATAGGATTTCGTCATCCATGAATATAAATGCAACCTTTCTAAACGTTTCTGTTGATGGGTACAACGAGGGTCTTCAACCGCATAACAAATTACCATGGGAATATTGTTTAGCACTAAAGTGAAACTCTTTATACTACCACAACTGGGCACGATATCACACTATCGAAGCCGGTCTTGTAGTAGAAGTATACGCATGCTAAAAAATTAAGATTGGAGCGGCTAGTGGTATACCGAACTCCGTAACACAGCGAAGAAAAATCGACAAATTCGACAACTTAAACCATGCTAAAATCGCCCAGCAAATAACAAAAAATTCCGCATGTTTAGAACTAACACAATATCATTGGGTTTATTGCAGGCCCTTTCACCGGGGTTGAGGGCGCTTCGTTTTCCAGTTGACTGTGTATTTCGGTTTTCAAAAAATAGAGGATACTTGGTTCTTTTCCCATTCGTGATTCTTTCCTTTTGACTTATAGGTCTCTCTGATTCTGCTTCGTATTCGACAATCTGTTTTGCAGTTATGAAGTACGTGATAAGCAAAACTTTCGAATAAGAAATTTAGGGTGGAACGAAACCCCAGTGGAGGTACTTCGGATTTCAAGTGATGGCGATGATAAAAGAATTTTTTGGGTTTAAAATTTTCAATTCCGGGATTCTTTTGGGATAGGAAACATTTGGGAAGTATTTTCTCAGTTGGCTTCATTTTAACTGAATAATATTGTTGGTGAGCAGCTCTGTATAGGATTTTTTGGGGGGATAATTTTTGGTGCAGTGAAGTTTGGGGGTTTTGATTTTTGCCCCCATTCGGTCATCCACGTCTCTTGAAATCCGGAATACCCCTTGGGAACGAAACTTGCTATGGTATAAAAAAATAAAATGGTAAATTATAATTGTGGGTACAAAAGGTAAGAGTACAATACAGACTATCGTGTGCAATTTTTGAGTGTGTTCATTTCCATCTTCGTCTCTTTGCTACAGATTAAAACCAAAAATACGACAGAGATCATTTATTCCTCCTTTAGACAAATGCTGTCACTTGTTAACTCATCCGATGCGGGTGATCATGACATTAGTTACAGACTTGTGAAATAGGGGCAAATTTGGTCGTTCCGTTCCTCACTTTCTGATGTTAAAAATACTAAAAATTCTGAAAATGCATTAAAAAGTTGTAGCTCACACTAATAAACCGTTATGCGGTGCGTGTGCATCTTTCGGGTTGGCGGGAAAATAGGAATCATACTTGGCGGGAGCTAATGCAGGGCTATATGTAACGGTGAATCAGCAATACAGTAAAGGAATTCGTCAATCACAAATTTTAGAAAAAGTTTATTTAATCTAGATAAAAAATAAAAACCACCTTCAGTGGAGATAATGTTTAACGACTTTCCGTCTTTATGTATGTTGAATCTTATCAAATGACGGTTTTTTTCCTTTCCGTATCTTTTATTTCATTTCTCCTTAAATTTTTATGTTAAAGGCCTTTTGGTGATACGCTATTAACCGTTGTAAGAATCTTTACCTTTCAGTGTGTCATCATCAAAGTTCAGTTCTTGTTCGGTACTAAGTGATGTTACATCACCCTCACTTGCTGCTCCGTTTCCACTCTGTGCCATAATGGTTTGACCTGGAAAAATCAGTATAAAGCTATAAATTGACATTATCTTCACTTGTATATAAAGCACTAGTAACAACACAGCCATTCATTTTGCTACAAGAGGTAAAATCGACCACAACTGATTCTAGGAAAAGCCTAATCTAGATAAAAAATGAAAAAACCACCTTCAGTAGAGATACTGTTTAACGACTTTGACTCTTTAACCACTTCCGTATGTTGAATGTTTTCAAATGAGGATTTTTTGTCAGTTTTGTATATTTTTTTTTTGTCGTTAGTTCGCTATATTAAAGGTCTTTTGGTGATACACTATTAGCAGTTGTAAGAATCTTTACCTTTCACTGTGTTATCATCAAAATTCAGCCCTTGTCCGGTACCAAGTGATGTAACATCACTCTCACATGCTGCTCCGTTTCCACCCTGTGCCATAATGGTTTGATCTGGAAAAATCGGCAAAAAGCTTTAAATTAATATTAACTACTATTAATTAGTATTAACTAATATTAGAAAAAAAAAACACCTTCAGTGGAGATAATGTTTAACTACTTTCAGTCTTCATGTATCAAATGTTAAATGTTATCAAATGACGGCTTTTTCCTTTCTGTATCTTTTATTTCATTTCTCCTTAAATTTCTCATGTTAAAGGCCTTTTGGTGATACACTATTAACAGTTGTAAGAAACTTTACCTTTCAGTGTGTCATCATCAAAGTTCAGCTCTTGTCCGGTACCATGTGATGTAACATCACTCTCACTTGCTGCTCCGTTTCCACTCTGTGCCATAATGGTTTGATCTGGAAAATCAGTATAAAGCTATAAATTGACATTATCTTCACTTGTATATAAAGCACTAGTACCAAAACAGCCATTCATTATGCCACAAGTGATAAACTCGACCACAAATTCTACGGAAAGCCTAATCTAGATAAAAAAAAAAAAATGAAAAACCACCTTTAGTAGAGATACTGTCGACTTTGACTCTTTAACCACTTCCGTATGTTCAATGTTTTCAAATGACAGTTTTTTGTCTTTTTTTAAATTTTTTTTCATTTGTCCTTAGTTTGCTATATTAAAGGCCTTTTGGTGATACACTATTAACAGTTGTAAGAATCGTTACCTTTCAGTGTGCCATATACAAAATTCAGCTCTTGTCCGGTACCAAGTGATGTAACATCACTCTCACATGCTGCTCCGTTTCCACCCTGTGCCATAATGGTTTCATCTGGAAAAATCGGCAAAAAGCTTTAAATTAATATTAACTACTATTAACTACTATTAACTAACATTAGATAAAAAATAGAAATAACCTTCAGTGGAGATAATGTTTAACTACTTTTAGTCTTCATGTATCAAATGTTGAATGTTATCAAATGACGGTTTTTTCCTTTCTGTATCTTTTATTTCATTTCTCCATAAATTTCTCATGTTAAAGGCCTTTTGGTGATACACTATTAACAGTTGTAAGAATCTTTACCTTTCAGTGTGTCATCATCAAAGTTCAGCTCTTGTCCGGTACCATGTGATGTAACATCACTCTCACATGCTGCTCCGTTTCCACTCTGTGCCATAATGGTTTGATCTGGAAAAATCGGTAAAAAGCTTTAAATTAATATTAACTAGTATTAACTAGTATTAACTAATATTAGATAAAAAATGAAAATAACCTTCAGTGGAGATAATGTTTAACTACTTTCAGTCTTCATGTATCAAATGTTGAATGTTATCAAATGACGGTTTTTTCCTTTCTGTATCTTTTATTTCATTTCTCCATAAATTTCTCATGTTAAAGGCCTTTTGGTGATACACTATTAACAGTTGTAAGAATCTTTACCTTTCAGTGTGTCATCATCAAAGTTCAGCTCTTGTCCGGTACCATGTGATGTAACATCACTCTCAATTGCTGCTCCGTTTCCACTCTGTGCCATAATAGTTTGATCTGGAAAAATCAGTATAAAGCTGTAAATTGACACTATCTTTACTTGTATATAAAGCACTAGTACCAAAATAACCATTCATTATGCCACACGTGATAAACTCAAAAAGAAATTCTACGAAAAGCCTAATCTAGAAAAAAAGAAAAAAAGAAAATGAAAAACCCACCTTTAGTAGAGATACTGTCGACTTTGACTCTTTAACCACTTCCGTATGTTGAATGTTTTCAAATGACGGTTTTTTGTCTTTTTTTAAAATTTTTTTTCATTTGTCCTTAGTTTGCTATATTAAAGGCCTTTTGGTGAAACACTATTAACAGTTGTAAGAATCTTTACCTTTCGGTGTGCTATCATCAAAGTTCAGCTCTTGTCCGGTACCATGTGATGTAACATCACTCTCACATGCTGCTCCTTTTCCACTCTGTGCCATAATGGTTTGATCTGAAAAATCAGTATAAAGCTATAAATTGACATTATCTTCACTTGTATATAAAGCACCAGTACCAAAACATATATTCATTAGGCCACAAGTGTTAAACTCGACCACAAATTCTACGAAAAGCCTAATCTAAATAAAAAATGAAAAAACTACCTTCAGTAGACATACTATTTAACGACTTTGCCTCTTTAACCATTTCCGATTGTTGAATAATTTCAAATGACGGTTTTTTGTCTTTTTTGTATATGATATTTCATCTGTCCTTAGTTTGTAATTTTTAAGGCCTTCTGGTGATACAGTATTAACAGTTGTAAGAATCGTTACCTTTTAGTGTGTCATCGTCGAAGTTCAGCTCTTGTCCGGTACCATGTGATGTAACATCACTCTTACTTACTGCTCCGTTTCCAACCTGTGCCATAATAGTTTGATCTGGAAAAATCAGTATAAAGCTGTAAATTGACACTATCTTTACTTGCATATAAAGCACTAGTACCAAAACATCCATTCATTATGCCACAAGTAATAAACTCGATCGCAAACTCTACGAAAAGCCTAATCTAGATAAAAAATAAAAAAAAAACACCTTCAGTAGAGATACTGTTTAACGACTTTGCCTCGTTAACCACTTCCGTTTGTTGAATAATTTCAAATGACGGTTTTTTGTCTTTTTTGTATATTCTATTTCATCTGTCCTTAGTTTATAATCTTTAAGGCTTTCTGGTGATACAGTATTAACAGTTGTAAGAATCTTTACCTTTTAGTGTGTCATCATCAAAGTTCAGCTCTTGTCCGGTACCATGTGATGTAACATCACTCTCACTTGCTGCTCCGTTTCCACTCTGTGCCATAATGGTTTGATCTGGAAAAATTAGTATAAAGCTGTAAATTGACACTATCTTTACTTGTATATAAAGCACTAGTACCAAAATAACCATTCATTATGCGACACGTGATAAACTCGAAAAGAAATTCTACGAAAAGCCTAATCTAGAAAAAAAAAAGAAAATAAAAAACCCACTTTTAGTAGGGATACTGTCGACTTTGACTCTTTAACCACTTCCGTATGTTGAATGTTTTCAAATGACGGTTTTTTGTCTTTTTTTAATTTTTTTTTCATTTGTCCTTAGTTTGCTATATTAGAGGCCTTTTGGTTATACACTATTAACAGTTGTAAGAATCTTTACCTTTCAGTGTGTCATCATCAAAATTCAGCTCTTGTCCGGTACCAAGTGATGTAACATCACTCTCACATGCTGCTCCGTTTCCACTCTGTGCCATAATGGTTTGATCTGGAAAAATCGGCAAAAAGCTTTAAATTAATATTAACTACTATTAACTAGTATTAACTAATATTAGATAAAAAATAAAAATAACCTTCAGTGGAGATAATGTTTAACTACTTTTAGTCTTCATGTATCAAATGTTGAATGTTATCAAATGACGGTTTTTTCCTTTCTGTATCTTTTATTTCATTTCTCCATAAATTTCTCATGTTAAAAGCCTTTTGGTGAAACACTATTAACAGTTGTAAGAATCTTTACCTTTCAGTGTGTCATCATCAAAGTTCAGCCCTTGTCCGGTACCATGTGATGTAACATCACTCTCCATTGCTGCTCCGTTTGCACTCTGTGCCATAATAGTTTGATCTGGAAAAATCAGTATAAAGCTGTAAATTGACACTATCTTTACTTGTATATAAAGCACTAGTACCAAACAGCCATTCATTATGCCACAAGTGATAAACTCGACCACAAATTCTACGGAAAGCCTAATGTAGATAAAAAATGAAAAAAACACCTTCAGTAGAGATACTGTTTAACGACTTTGCCTCTTTAACCACTTCCGTTTGTTGAATAATTTCAAATGACGGTTTTTTGCCTTTTTTGTATATTTTATGTCATCTGTCCTTAGTTTGCTACATTAAATGCCTTTTGGTGATACACTATTAACAGTTGTAAGAATATTTGCCTTTTAGTGTGCCATCATCAAAGTTCAGCTCTTGGCCGGTACCATGTGATGTAACATCACTATCACTTTCTGCTCCGTTTCCACTCTGTGCCATAATGGTTTGATCTGGAAAAATTAGTATAACGCTGTAAATTGACACTATCTTTACTTGTATATAAAGCACTAGTACCAAAACAACCATTCATTATGCCACAAGCGATAAACTCGACCACATATTCTACGAAAAGCCTAATCTAGAAAAAAAAAAGAAAATGAAAAACCCACTTTTAGTAGAGATACTGTCGACTTTGACTCTTTAACCACTTCCGTATGTTGAATGTTTTCAAATGAAGGTTTTTTGTCTTTTTTTAAATTTTATTTCATTTGTCCTTAGTTTGCTATATTAGAGGCCTTTTGGTGATACACTATTAACAGTTGTAAGAATCTTTACCTTTCGGTGTGTCATCATCAAAATTCAGCTCTTGTCCGGTACCAAGTGATGTAACATCATTCTCACATGCTGCTCCGTTTCCACTCGGTGCCATAATGGTTTGATCTGGAAAAATCGGTAAAAAGCTGTAAATTAATATTAACTAGTATTAACTAGTATTAACTAATATTAGATAAATAATAAAAAACACCTTCAGTGGAGATAATGTTGAACGACTTTCTGTCTTCATGTATCAAACGTTGAATGTTATCAAATGACGATTTTTTGTCGTTATTCTATTTGTCCTTAGTTTGCTATATTAAAGGCCTTTTGGCGAATCACTATTGACAGTTGTAAGAATCGTTACCTTTCAGTGTGCCATCATCAAAGGTCAGCTCTTGTCCGGTACCATGTGATGTAACATCACTCTCACATGCTGCTCCGTTTCCACTCTGTGCCATAATGGTTTGATCTGGAAAAATCAGTAAAAAGCTTTAAATTAATATTAACTTCACTTGTATTTGCACTGTTACCAAAACAACCATTTATTTTGCCAAGTGGTAAACTCACATTAGTATAAAACTTTTATTGAGTGAACAAATCAATCAAAATTATGTCGCAGGCGGTTAAGAAATGCGTGAAGTAATTTTCAAACAACAGGACACGTAATCTGATTCAGTCTTTTTTTGAGCTTTCAATTAAGGCATGAAACTGCTTTCCAGAATTCAGTAGCCCAGTCGCTCAGGCCACCCTAGTAACCAACTATTGCGAACTCACTTTTCGACAATGTCGGTAGCTGATTCAGCTTCAGATTCAGAGCGACGATTTTTGCAGTTATTTTTTGTTACCCCAGTTAAACGACTTACTAGCAGCAGGGGGTTACAGTACCAGGAGTCAATTGCAGCAATAATCCTTATAAACATATTGTTTCTTTTTGGTGGAAGTGAAATTTGGTAAAGTTTACTTTTAGCTTTAAAGAACTTAATGGGATAATCGTCATAATTTGGAACAGGTTTCGTTATGGGCAATACTTTGTTGATGAAAATTCGTGATAAAAACACTGTTAAGTATTTAAATTCGGTTTGCTACTTAAAGATGTTTGGCTGCTATGACCACATCAACAACAACACTTTTCTTACTTTGAAAATTACAGATTGGATTAACACTTAAATAAACTTTTCAAATAGTAATAATAATAATAATAATAATATGATAGTTATAATAATTATAATAATAAACGGTACAATGTGAAGGTGCTGTGGCTGAGCTATAGGATTTCAGCATCCTTTATTATAAATGCCTTGCCAATTATTTCTGTTGATGGGTTTAACCGCATAACACATTATCATGAGAATATTGTTTGGCACTAAAAGTGAACACTTTTCTAAAACCGCAACTGGTCACGGTATCACACTATGAAAGCCGGTCTTGTAGCAGAAGTATACGCATGCGCAAAAAAAAGTTGAAGAGCGGCTAGGGGTATACCGAACACCGTAACACTGCAATGAAAAATCGAAAAATTGGACACAACCATGCTAAAAATCGCCGAGCCAATAACAAAAAATTCCGCATGTTTAGATATACCAAAATAACAGAATTCAAGACCACAATTACAGAAGTACCGCATGAAAATTTGGCAAACACAATAATGCCGCAAACTTTCTCAATGTAAGGTGATAAAATGTAACACTCTACTATAGTCTCCCCTCCCCGAGACAGACGTTTGATTCCAAATGCCTCACGGTGCAGTGGGCAAAAGAGCATAGAGGCAACACAAATGCCTAAAGGGGATGGTCACACTTTAAATTTACGGACCCATTTTAGTTGATTGCAGGCCCTTTCACCAGAGTTGAGGGTTCTTCGTTTTTGAGTTGAGTGTATTTCGGTTTCCAAAAAATACAGGATACTTGGTTCTTTTCCCATTCGTGGTTGTTTCCGTTTTACTTGTAGGTCTCTCCAATTAAGCTTCGTATTCAACAATCTGTTTTGCTGTTATGAAGTACGTCATAAGCAAAACTCTCGATTTTCGAAATTGGGGTGGATCGAAACCCGAGTAGTACTCTGGATTTCAAGTGACGGGTTTGATCGAAGGATTTCTTGGGTTTGAAATTTTCGATTTCGGGATTTTCTTGGGGTAGCTAAGGAAAATTTGGCAAAAATTTTGTCGGATGGCTTGATTGAACTGAAAATTGTTATTCGTGGTTTGCCTGCTTAATCCGGCCGCGTAGTTGTGTATGGGATTTTTATTTTATTTTTATTTTTTTTGGGGGGGGGGGGGTAATTTTTGGTCCAGGGATTTTTTGGGCTTTCGTTTTTTGCTCCCATTCGAACATCCACGTCACTTTAAACCGGGAATAACCCCTGAAACTTGCTGTGGTAAAAGCTTTGTTCGCACTTCTGATAAATAAAATAAGAACTACCGTGATAAAAAAAATCGAAAAAATTAATTGAATGTTTTGAATGGCAAGAAAATTGAATTGCGAGGATTAAGCGAAGGTCTATTTGCTGAACTGATTCAGTTTTCGAGAAGGAAATCCATTTGAATTAAGAAGCTTGTCTTTAGCGGACCCGGCTAATTAAGGACAAGTTTTAAAATTTGTGCTAAAGGACCACAAGTCAAGGATGGAAAGTCTGTCTTAGATGGAATGACCGTCTTAAATAAATCCGCATGGGCTCGTTCTCTCTCTCTCTCTGTTTTTTTTTTTGCTAAATGGGGAAAACACGAACTACATCAGACAATTGCTTCTGGTAGAGAAAAAATTGTGCTGAAGATATTGCCACTTAGAAATACGAAGATAATGAAGAAGGTTTTTCAAAAACAGTTCAATTAATTGTTAATTAAAATACCTTACGTTAGTTTCTGACCCTACCAATGCACTCACGGAAATCGCAAAAAAGCGGTAAAAACAACAGGAAACTTTTCGAAATCACTAATTATAGTGTGGCTTGTTTAGAAAGTGCACAAATAACATGGCATTGAACAATATCATATGCTTGTTACAGGTAAGAAAACCTTTCACTAAATAAACGATGTAATTGATCAGATTTAGCCTACCTGTATTTTCACGGGGGAAAAACTTCTCTGTTGCGTTTCACTCTACCTGTTTCACTCAGTCGTATCTTCATATGAGGATATGAAAGGGGCGTCAACTGATTATAAAGACTTTGGCAAATCATGTGATCAAAAGGACACGACGCAATAGGTTCATTTTATTTTAAGAAAATGTGTGTGATGACATTCTGCCTAAAATATGTTTTATTCGTAACAACTCAAGAATCTGATATAAACGAAAGAATATGACGCAAGAATATTTTATTTAAAGGAAATGCGTTTGATGACATCCGATCGAAAATAAAACTGTTACTTGGCAATTTATAAACTGTTACACACATACACAATTTTTCGCTTTACAATATTTCTCTTTCATGTATTCTCTCTCTTTGGTAGTTAAATTTGTAATATTTTCTAAAGCAAAATCCCTGGAGTCAACCAGAAATAGTATTCCATGCCATGTCAGTATGACAATAAGAAGAAGGAAGCCATGCATACACTATACCAGTTCAGAAAAAGTGCAAATCCCAGTTTTCTTGTGAAAATGAGTTTTATGTACATGAGAATAAAAAACATTTTCATATCAATGGCTTTGCACTTAGCCTCGCTTTGAAACAGAGGCTGAGGCCGGTTCGGTAGTAGACTTTTGGTGAGGACTCATTTGTCTCTTACATTGTTCTGGTCATAGTAACCTACGCGTTGTTTTTTGCTCATATCTACTCACGGCAAAAGACTCAGAAAACTCATTTTTGACTCTAAACAGTCAAGAATATCTCAAACTGAAGTATTTGAGCTGCAATCGCTGACAAAATTGTTGAGCAGTGTACCCGTGGGTAACTTCAGAGAACT